ATTTCAATTGCCTGTCATCATTCTAAAGGATTTAGTATAATCTGATGATAATTATATAACATTTTGCATTGGAATGTTGGATATGACTATTACCCACCTAACCCCTGGACACCTTGTTCTACAGTGGATACCATTTGAAGAATGTGAAGAAGTGTCTCTACTATATGGAGCTGTTCAGATCTGTGAAAGGTAGACATGCAAAGAATCAAAACAAAAGTAATTTCACAATTGACACAGTGTGAGGTTACAGAAAAAAAACCTGTAATCACACCCATACTATAATATGGAAACTCACTGGAAATTCTGCTAGAAAAGGGAATAAGGTCACCAAGGTGTCTTTTAACCCTTTGACTCCTGAGAGTGATACACATCTAATTCCTCCCAACAGTATCACTGCTAACTCAAACATAAAACTCATGAGAATAAATGAAATAATCATGAAGTCAAGAAACTCTTGTTTGTCGGACAAATTCTCCTTGTCAGCACTTTAGAATATGTATAAAGAACAATATGGAGAAAGTGCATACTGATGTTTGGGTGTTAAGGTATGTTGAAAGGTCTCAAAAGCATTCATTAACTATTTTTGAAAGGGCTTGAGGGAGAAATGAATCAAACCTAAAATTCTGTCATGTAGGGAGCCCTGTATGTAGGATACAATTTTAAACATTTAAATTTGCCTTTTTGGTGCAAAAGAGGATTCAGATAGATGCACGATGTGGGAAAGAAATCTGACATTGGAAAAAAATTTTCATAGGATTTAAAACAATCCCTTGGGATGTATTGCAACATCAGAAATCCTGAGGTGCTTCTGGCACCAAAGACTTTCAAAATTTGATGAGCCTGGAAAATTAAAAAAGGCTGACATGATAAAAATTATGACCTCATATGCATCTGTTTCATGGCTTCACAAACAGCAGTAACCAAGGGTAAGTCCGCCCAGGCTCGCAACATTTCATCATTTGTATCCAAAACCTTATCTACCACTTGGGAGCAGTTAGTGAGAAGATCCACTGCAAAGCAAAATAAAATAACAGCAAGAAATAAATGCTGAGTATTTCCTAGGAACACCCTCTAAACTTCTAAAATTCAGACTGCAAAAGAGTTAAAACATCTTTAACCCTTTTATTAATTCTCATAAGTGATCAAGATAGAATTTCCCCCATAACAATTATCAATAAAATATCAAACACTCATGTGATGACAAAAATTTTAAAAAATATTTTAAATAGGGGATTTTCACTAAATTCTCTAATGCAATATCGTAAGAGCCATAAGTTTGACAGTAAGGAGAATTGGGAGAGACAGGGTTAACTTCTTTCAGGAAAATGCCTGAGATAGGTACATAATTTTCCTCAGTGTGCATAAAGATCTCCACAAGGATAAAAAAGCAAAAAAAGCCAGCCAGTTGAGGAAAAACAAAAAGCAGAGGTTGCTACCAAATCCCTGATGATTGCAGCAGCCCAATCTTTCATTTGTCTCTTATGTACTTGAAAGCTATACAGTTTGAAAAGAATTTGAACTAGTTTGATTTTTTTCTTTGTTTAAGGACCATGGTAATATACCTAGAACAAAGGGAGACACAAATCAAACTGGTTTAAAATTAGAGTGACTTTAAAATCAATTTAAACCATAACCTTTCCAAAGACCAAGACACTGAAACATGCAACTTTTTGCTCATCCTAAGTGTATCCTCTAAGAAGGGCTTGATGTAGTATAGGTGACGTTGCATAGTTTTAGTGAGTCAGTCCCCTTCCAGTAACTCATGGTTGGACTCACCATTTAGAGAGTTTTCCAGGATGTACATAAAATTCTTGAAGACTGTTTCTGCCTCCAAAACTGCCATCCACTGTGATTCAACCTCATCATTACTCAAACAAACATGAATCAGTCTAAAAAAATTGAGAAAAATGGATGGTAAGTGTAAGAAAAAAGTCTTTGAAATGAGTAAGAAGAAAAAAAGTGGTTTTTCAATATTTGGCTGAATAAGGAAGTAATTTCGAACTGTTTGCTGAGCCTCAATGGGAAAGGGAAAATGGTTAACCCTTTAACTTCGAGGAGTGACTGGTATCTATTTTCTCCTAACATCATCACTGCTGAATCTAACACAGAAGACATGAGAATTAGGGAAGTGATCATCAAAACAAAAAGCTCTTGATTGTTTAAAAAAAAAAACACACCTTCTCCTTGTCAATACCCAATAGGACATGTATAGAGAACAGTAGAGAATATATACAAACTGATGTTAAGGTTTTAAAGGCTTAAATCCTTGCCACTTTGAACTAGACACAAAAACTCCCTCATGAAGGTTTTACAATATATTAATTCACCAGTGTACCTTGTAACCTCCACCAGGACTGGAGCATCTGGTTCATCAAGCAGAACTGTAACAATATCACTGCAAAATAAGTTCAAGGATTGATGGTGCAATAAATTCTTCACTTGTGTAGCTAGGCAATATCTATTGTCTATTTGTTTACATCTATTTGTTTCATAATATACCACAGATTACTTCAAAATGCTGTAAGAAAAAAAAAGAGGCACATGAAGTGCAGCCAAGTCTGTCAGATTTCCTTACCACATTTTGACATCTTCTGCAATCTATTACAGGACTGTGGTCTGGCAGAGCCCAGGTGCCTCACGCAACCAAGTTTTGTCTTAATGGGCAACTTGCATAATTTCATTTTTATAAAAGCATGTGAGAGCTGGGCACCCCAGATTCCCTAGATGATAACCTCTAGGCAGCCTTGTATTACTTTACAGACTTGCAAACACATAGAAACTGTTTGTTTTATATGATAAAGTATCAGAATGTTGTTAATGATGATGATTCATGTATGAACCAATGAAAATTCATGTAGGATTCAGTTGTACTGTACTGTACTGTAATCTAAATCAATACTATAACTTTTTTTACAATAAATCAAAGGCCATTTTGGTACTATAAAAGAGAAATATTGCAGTAAGAATAATCAGAGATCTAAATAACAGTAAGTTTACAGATAAAACTGTTAACTTACACAAGATCTTTATTACTCAACATCTTCACACAAACACCATGACTGCAAGCCATGTTTGCCAGAATTCCGACACAAATTTCCTAAACACAACAAAGAATTAAAACAACCTGTCACTTATTCTTACCAAACAAATGAAAACCAAGTGGGGAACATTCGACAGGAATTTGTGATGTTCTGGTGATGCCAAGCTTTTCAGAAGTAATTTGGTAAATAAAATCCCATATTAGCATGCATGTATTACAAAGATCTAAAATCTTACAATGAGAGTTAATTTTAGTCATAACAGTACTTCATTACACTTTGTGAATCACAGTGTTTTCACTTCTTGATTCAACCTTGTAAAATAATAGTTGATCTTTGTAACTGCACAAGAACTAAATTTACATTATCTTGGTAGTAAAAATTCTTCACAATGCCAAAAAGGGATTTGAACACCTTTAACCCTCTCAACCCTTGGAGTGACCAGCATCTAATTTCTCCTAACAGTAACACTGAGAATAAAGGAAATGATTGTCAACCTTGGAAGCTTTGATTGTCCCCAGGAAGCTTTGATTGTTAAACAGATTCTCCCAGTCAGTACCAAAAGAAATGTTTAGAGAAGAGTATCAAGAATACAGATACTGATGTTAGAGTGTAGTGGGTTTCCGACTTGAATCCAACACATCACACCAAAGATACCAGGACTTATTGGACCTAAACAACCCCAAACAACCCATTATGGATATCATGAAGTGTGGTTCTGAGATATATTTTTTCTGTTCATAATCATGGGTGTAAAACATTACCAGAGGCCTTTAGTGTCACTAACTACTTACATATTAACCCTTTCACTTCCAAGATCTCGTTAGTAATTCTCCTAACTGTGTTCCATACAATTCCTGTGATGTTAGTTCAGATAATCTGATGTTGGATCAACTAATAATCTCCAAATTTATATTTTTCTCTATTCCTATCACTTATCTGCTTGATGTTTTATCAATATTGTAGGGAGAAATTCTGTCTTGGTCACTCATGGGAGGAGGATAAGATAAAAAAAAAAAAGCATTCATTATCGTACTGTAACTCTTGGATTCTGTGACTTCAATACAGCATCTAAGAGGACTTCAGTAGTTTCCACTTCTTCCAAAAATGCTGCTACATCCTGCAAACAAAAGCAAAGTTATGTTTAACTTCCCACCTCATCACCATCTCGATCCTCCAGTCTCCGCTCCCCCTTCTACCTGACTACTAGAATTGAGTATGCTATGAAACGTGATTGTCTATCCTGTCTTGTACTTTATTGAGTGCTCTTAGCTGGCGAAAAATTTATTTATATTGTCATAATTTCAGAATTTTTTAGGTGCCTAATGGTGACTTCGAAAATCTTTGAGATTGGTGCCCTAATAGTTGTTATCTGCTCTTCCGGACACAGCTTAGATACTTCCAGGTTTTCGCTGCTAAACGATAACCTTACCATACCCCGTAAGGTTTCTTCATGTCACGCATTCTCTCACTAGCAAAAAAATCGCTACTCCGCGTATTTACTGCTCGAAAATCATTTGAGATCATTGCTTCTTTAGATTCTTACACCGTTCATTGACATATCCCATAGTTCACACAGCTCTTTTTCAAAATCATCGCTAAGCTCGTGTGATGCATTATCTTCTCCCTCGCGCGATGAAGCATGTTCGTCGTTTTGGCCCTCCTCGGAATCTTCAGTAGTGGACTGAAGAGATTGAACCAGCTTCATAAGAGTTCCTAGCACCCATTTCTTGCTAAATACTGTTTCACCGATGTTGTCGTATTGTATTAGCTCAATTTCCTCCGCGGATAAACGAGGAGGAGAAGGATTCCTATCTGCCATCTTACAGCCCGGTCTTACAGAATCTATTTTTGATCTTCTAGCAAATCAAACTTCGGAACTCTCCGGAAGCGTTCGGCAGTTCCGACGTACAGCTGGTGTCCAGTCTCCCCCACAATGCTTTGAGAAAGGAAATACCTAAAATGTCGGACAGATCGTCAGAAAGTGTTTTAAAACGAAAGCTGGACGAAGGTGAAACTCAAACGGCAAACGACACAGATCTAAGCTCGCCGCCAGCTAAAGTGCGAGTGACAGATAATAAAGCTAGAGAGACAGTTCAAACCAAACCAAATACTGTTGATGTTTCGCAAAATAGTGTTGGACCTTCAAACATTGCTTCAAGTCAGGCAATTACAGAGGGCAGCGATGATGAACGTGAAAAAATGCAGTGAGTACCAATGCTTAGCTTAATTTGAAGGTGGAAATATAGTTTGGTTTGTAAATGTACCCGTGATCTTGAGGAATACGGCTTCTGTGGCCGATGCGACTTGAAATTTTTAACATCGACAAGAAATATTTACCTTTTTCAACAAGGAGATTTCGATTATTCCTTATTTTTCAGGTTGCTTGTGTCCTCCTTCTCAGAAGAACAACTGAACCGCTATGAAATGTACAGAAGGGCAGCATTTCCCAAGGCAGCAATTAAACGGGTGAGTTTAAGACACCTTTCTTCGTTTTACACATCAGCCATTGTGCAGGGCACAGATATTGAAAAATATCACTCTGTATGTTACAGTAACTGTAGCTTTTGTTCCCAACCATGGCATTCACTTGGTAATTCGGTATTATAAACTGAGTTGACAATGTAAATTGGCCACCACAAAGAGTTTCCAAGGTGACGTTTTCGCTCTGATTAAGGGTTAATGCTCGAAACGTCAGCTTTGAAACTCTTTATAGTAGCCAATTTACATTATCAACCCAGTTGGTTTGTTAGCTCAGTTGGTAGAATGCTACACCGGCATCGGTCATGGGTTCAAATCCCTTACAGGCCTGAATTTTTTTTTTCAGGCCTTATTTTCACTTCTGCACAAGCAGTGTTCATTACTGCGAAGATTGCCTTCATATTCACATCTTTATCTGCAGTTCAAATATCTGACTTTCATATATTTACAGTCGTTTATTATCAACTCAGTTAATTATACCAAATTACCTTGTTATACTCTCCCACTGATGCAGCGCCACAGTTTCTTTAGAAGTGTACCCCTGTTTTCTCATGGCATTCACTGCTTGAATTAATTGTGTGGGAGAAAATAATGATGTGTTTTGCTATTCCCCTTTCCCCCCTAAAAAGATGTTTTATTTTTACATCTGATTGGTTGTCAAAATGGCACAAGTTGGGTAAACCAACTGCAGAGTGGCACAAAACCAATGCAATCAGATTTCTTTTGAAACAATAAAAAAACACCCATATGGCTAGTTTTACTGTCTTATCTATCTTATTTAAGTAATATCCTGATTGAATTTCTGTTTTTACCTGCAGCTCATGCAAAGTGTCACAGGAGGAACTTCAATCCCTCCAAATGTTGTCATAGCTATGGCTGGAATAGCCAAAGTATTTGTTGGAGAAGTTGTAGAGGAAGGTACATGTAATTTTAAGTTCATGATCAAAATTCTAATATTCTCTTTGCTTTTAAATTTTAATATCTATTCTCTTCAGTTGGTTGGCCCAAGGTTAAAATACTTTTAAAATTCTGTGCTTCTTACAAATATTCACATTTTATGGATGGAATTTCATAGGTAATACCAAACAGAGGGACAGGACTTTTTTATAGTACAAAGTTGAAATTGAGTTTCTGAAAGGGAATCTGTGAACGTAAAGTGTAATTTTATATCAAGGCATAAGGGCAAAATATTCCATTTGCTGTTTCTTTTCACCACATAAGTATACTTCCACTGATGCAGAAGAAGGAGCAGTAGTATTAAACCCACTTCACAGGAGACACATGGAAATTCTTAGCTTTGACCCAGATTTGAAACATTTTAGTTGCACCCCTTTATCACTAAGCTATTTTCTGTAAATAAATAAATAAACCCCATTCAGATGGCTGGTCTGTTGGCTGATAATGTCAGCAGCTGAGATATTGTCTGAAAACATTAATATTTGGCTAAGGAGCAAAGCTTCAAGGTAAATGTGAAATTTTGAGGACAATCTCTCAGCCAAGGACATTATGGCATGCCTGAAAATGGGTTATTTATTTTATAAGCCTCCCATAAATTTTCATATTGTGGGTTGACAGCAAATTTTGTTGACTTTTTTTGTTCTTTGCAGAGCATTTGAGATAAGTTTTTAATGTCCCTACCAATGGACACAATGAAAATATTTTGTTTTCCTTCCATGTAAAGCAACAAAGATGAAAACAGTGAAACTCTCAAACTGGCTATTTCCCACTGGCTTGGTTTCTTTACAAGAGAGATAATTAGGGGACAAAAATCCCTGTAGAAGGGGGTTATTGCATGATAATTGTCCATTGATTTTGCACCAGGTGGCATTAAGTAGCCAATAGAATTGTGTGAAAGTTAATAGGTGGATTATAACCTAGAGTACTTCATTTGTGGGATATTTGTCAGAGCTTATGGTTGGGTATGTCTTTTAGCTGAAGTACAAAGTCCCAAATTTTCAAGTGAATGTACTGGTATATAGCATATGCTGTTACTGTAATCTTGACAGTTTCTTGGCCTTTCTCTAAAAGAAATCCAAGATTCTTTGAACTATGTTTCTTTTTCCATGAAGTTAGTCATTGAGTGGTTATTATTCTTGATATACAGCTTGTGATATAATGGAAAAGTGCAAAGAATCTGGGCCCATTCAACCAAAACATCTAAGAGAATCTGTCAGGAAGTTGAAAAGGAAAGGTCTAGTCCCAAATACAAGATATCAGAAGAGACTTTTTCACAGGTACAATTTAATTGTGGCAAATTATGCTCCTCTTCTCTTAGATGATAGACGAAGTTGACTTAAAGTCAATTATTGTGAGTGTGTTCCCTAATAGCAGTTAATTTCCAAAGTTGTGGTCTTTACAAATGCAGGACCTGTGGGTGATCCCTATCAGTTAGAGATACAGGAATCCTAACCCCCTAACCCTTTACATTTCTTATGGCAGTGATAAGGAGAATTTGTTCATCAATCAAGTGTCTCTTTAATCAACAAGCATTCTCTTTATCCTTATAACCTTAAGGTTTGATTCTACAGTGATACTGTGAGGAGAAATTGAATGTTGGTCAATATTAACCCTTTCACTCCTTAGAGTGACTAGCATCTTAATTTTCCTTACAATATCTCCCCTGAATCAAACATTAAGGTCCAAAAATAAAGGAAATAATTACCAACTTAAGAAGTGCTTGATTGTTAAACAAATTCCCCTTGGCAGCACCTTAGAGAATGTATATAGAACAATATGGAGAATATGCATACTGAAGTTAGGGTGTGAAGTGTTAAAGGGTTAAGTTAGTGCGTTTTCCTGGTAATTCCTCAATTGTTACAAAACTGCAGGAGCACTGTCCAGAGAAGGGTGCTCTTTTTAGACGAATCAGATCGAAGACTTAAGAAACGTGGACACCTTTGTTTCAAATTTAGGTGTAAAAATGTCGTGTTGTCTCTTCAATTCCTAATATTATCTTCTAGTGACTTCTCTGGCTCTTCTGATCTTGTCAAATGATATTACTTTGGTTTTAATTTAAAAAATATGATTCATTTTTTTTTCCCGGCTGAAATTGGTCTTTACCAAAACCTCCCACCAGCGAGTTATTGCTTAGAGCTATTTTCTGCTCGAACGTGCTCAGTATTTTAAAGCTCATTGCATCTTAAATTCTCTTTAGGTGAAATGCTACGCCCTGTGACCTGAGGGAAGAAAGATGTGACTTAAATAAAAGCTCATTGTGGGAAAATGTCTAAACGAGAACCCACAGATGACATTGTTTCAGCTCAAGCTCTGACAGAGGAAGTCCAAAAGGTCCTGGATTTTCACTTAATTTGTTGAAGTACCAACAAAAAAAGACGCACAACGGCTGTTTGGACAATGTCTGAATGATAATAGAGCATAAAGAGTGGGCTGCTAGAGACTGCGGAAGTTTTTTTTAAACATGGGGGCGACGTTTATCTTACATAATAAAATAAGTGATACGCAAGGAGCACCTTTAGTGGTGAAAAACCTATCGTTTATTGCACGGGTAAACCCACAGAAGATTGATGTTTATTCTTTTTTTTTTTTTAGGCAATAGAATGCACTTTCTATCGGTTTACCAGCGTAATAACCCTCTTGGGATGTTTAGAGAACACTCGGAAAAGTTTGTCGTGTTCTCGCAACATCCCGCGTGGGTAATTAAGCCGGCAAACCGATAGAAAATGCGGTCTATTGCTTAGCTAACCCAAGTTCATGCCCCCGCTCAAAATTTCCTCAGAATTCCTTTGCGTAGGTTGTTGGCACCAGCAAACTCGTTTCTGTTGTGTTCAGTGAGTCCGTAATCAATTTTTTACAACACTTAAGTAGGCAGTTGCTCAAGAAGAGGCCAGGCGCGATCCTCAGGAAACAATTTGTGAAAAGATCACGAGAATAAGGTTTAGTAGGGGGTACTATGTAATTTTTTTTTTTTTATGGGGGAGGGTGCGTAGTTCTCATGGGAAACACTGAGAAATTGAGACCTTAGGTCTTTTCAATGGGTCGCGTTAGAAAGTAATTTTATGCGATAATATTAATGCATGTCTCGTTTGACCAAATCACTTATTTCCTTAATTAAGCCGGGCGCTCATTTCAATTTCGGTCAAAAAGGAGAGGCGCTTATTTGGAGAAGGTCGCCTAATTGAGGGGTTGCTTATTATCTTTTGTATTGATTCCGGTGTAGTTAAAGCTTTAAAAAGTTATGAAAAGTGGAAATAGAAACAGATTTTCCTTGTAGCCCTCCTAATTAAGAAAGTCAAGGAGGAGGGGAAGGGCTTATCGGAGAGGGGCGCACTGTTTGACATTACAGCTGTGGGCACTTGATCGGGGCGCTTATTCAGACATTTTGTTTGAGTGGGCACTCCGGGTAAAAAGGGGTTCGTTACATAACGTGACTCGTTTTATGCTTTGCATTTCAGACGCACTGTAAAGTTGAAACTTTTATTGGATGTCTGAACTACTCATAATGAAATATTTGTCCCAAATTTGGTCTCCTTTCCTTGACGATACATTAGAAAATGGTCCGTGATCTGTACAAATGATTTCTATGTATAATTTTAAAACAGCCCGCGGTAGAGAGTTTTGTTTCCATAGTTTTCGCCTAAAACCAAAGCAATTTGCACAGAATATGGAAAGAAATTAGAGACAAAAGTGTCGTGGAGAAACTGTTACAGAGAGAGGACAAAAGTTCATTACAACGTTTTGTTAAGGGAGGCTTGTGACAACTAATCATCAGCAACGGTTGTGTGGCAACTGGTTTAATTGAAAAGATGGACAGTGTTTTTTAAGTTGCAAACAAAAGCAACTCTACCTGACGCACTGTCTGTGTTCGTGTACACAGTTGTCTGAGAAACAATTTATGCATATTACGTGAGTGGTCCCCTCACGCTAAAGGTCATCATCGAAGGTATCGGTAAAATTGAAAACCATTAGTTATCGAATGACGAAAAAAAAACTGATAATGTAAGTTGTACATTTGATTGAGGCGATTAAAAGTTTGCTTTTCCAATAATCACGTTGATTCTTAGAGCGTTGTAGAATCAGGGTATGCTAATTTAGTCTATTCATAATTGATACGATCAAGATGTTTTAACAAAGTAGGGTTTTTAGGTCATTATTTTCCTAATTTAGATGCGTCCACCTTCCCTCCTCCAACCAAAAAAAAGCAAACAAATAAAAAAACATAACTTGTCTATCTTTTTATTTTCTCTCCTGATCAGTTCAGCAGCTGAACAAGAACTAAAAAAAATATATAAAAACAGGGTCATTTATCTTATCTCCATTGGTTTTAACAGCTACGCATTACCACAAGCAAATAAACGTTGATTGACACGTGGAAATGTCTAGGGGATACAACCTCTTATGACTCCTTCCGAGTACGTAACAAAAGATCAAATTTTGGTATGTTTTAAACAAATTTAGTCCAAAAGTCCGTTATTTTGTGTAGCGATCGTGCTCGTCATCAGGCGCTTTTACATTGAGAAATTTTAAATATTTGCCCAGAGTCCGGCCAAGAAATAAGTTGTTTCAAATATAACAATCTCGATGTTGAAGAGACAATTTTGTTTGGTTTCAGCACGATAAAGAAATACGCACTTATTAATAAAACCTATTTACAATAAGTATGAAGTTTCGCACCATTTGTCGTACAGAAGATGCCGTTTTGCGACTCTTGTCCCGAAAAAGTGACGGCTACTCGCAGAGTAATTACGTGTCAGATGAAAATCATAAATACCGTGCAATTCTTGTTTGCCTAGATTCTACAAGTTTGCATTTGTCGTGTCTGTCTGGATTGATTGGCGCGCGACTTTTCGCAATTTTCCGGCTCATGTAAACCACGTGTCCTTTGTGTACGTTTATATGTTGATAGCGTTGATGGGGTTGAGCGAGAAACACGCCGGCAAGACATCAGGTGAGATTCGACAATGGGTGAGGGAGTAAAAGTAATTTTTCTGGCTTCTGTAATTATTTGGATGTCTAACGTCGTACGAATACGTGGAAAGAGGAGGAGGATACGTTGTCTAGACATTTTGAAACCTGAAGATGTTAGTGTCGCCGGCTAAGAATACTGTTCATTTTCCAAAGGGCCTTCAAACAGATCAGTAAAGTGCCTCCCCCTCGCATGTTATCACATTCACAACTAAAAATTTCATTAATTTATTTTCCGCGATTTACACTCGCTTTTTTTCCTTTGGAAAGCAAACAGAAAGGACCCGTAAACGCATTCGAAATCACAGTAACAGAAAAGCATAGCCACAATCTTGGCCCTGCCCCCACAATACTGGAAAAGCCTGATTAGCCAGAACACGGTTGACTTTATCTTTAAGAGGACTCGTCGAACGACTGATAGCAGAGAACGATAAAAAAAGTCACGAACAATTGAAGTAATCGTGATTCCCAACAGCGAAATTTAAATCCCCGAAATTTACTCAAAATTGCGCGCTGATTCTGATAAGTTATCACATAACAACTATCGCCTTTTTAAATAAAATTGTTTACCTAAGTCGGTGTGTTCAAACGTTTGTTTATAAGAATAGTAAAAGGCTTGTTTTTTTTTCGTTCACTAGCGAATTCAGTCCCTGGGAACTTAATTCACCCCGCTAGTATTATATATATCGACAACTCGCTTCTCGAAAGCCCAGCAAACGGGTCGTAGTTAATTTAAGTGGCAAGCGTTCGGCTTTTTGATTAACAAACTTGTGGCCTTTAGTTGTTTTCTGAAAAAGGAACAGGAAATAATTCTAATTGATAAATCTTATCGCGTGTGCTTTTATGTCGGATCACTGAATAGTATTCAAACTAGAAAAGCGTTTGTACCACCTACTCAAAGAGCTACATCTTTTCACCGATGTGGAGTACTCATTGTCGGAGCGAAGCTGCAACACACTCCTATGTAAAAAGACTTTCTGAGTAATCATTTCATGGCTTCCATAAACCTAACAGACAACATATTAAAGTAATTTTTCCGCATGCTCATTTGTAAGACTGATTAGCGATATCGGGAACTGTCCTAACCTTTTTTTTTTTCATCTCTCCTGTACGAAATTCGAAAGTGCTATTAAAAGCTCGTAGAAAGACACGTATCCTTTGGTTAATATTCATTAAAACTCGTACGGAGATGCAAAGAGAGAGGGACGAAAAATGATTCCAAAACCGTTTTACTCCTATAATGGAGAGGATTTATTTTCCTTTAGAGGCAGTATTCTTGGCACGACCCGCAGACCTATAAAAAAGTTTGTTTGATTTCGTGAACAGTCTCGAAGTTGAAAATTGGTGACAAGACATGTCATGAAATGACCTTTTCTTCACCCCTAAATTGTTTATATCATAATAGAGATTTCATCATTTTCTTTCGAATAAATTACCTTCTAGCTTCGATATATGGTGATTATTTATGTAAACTGAAGGATTCCCTGCGGAGAAAAATCTCTATAACAGCTTAAACATATCAGGATTTCCAGGCTAAAAATGTTTAGCTGAATAAAAAATGTATTTGAATTAATAAAGGATAATTTTTTGTGATTTGTAGTCGTGCCAGAATCTTGGCAATCGGGGTTTCTATTCAAATGTTATGCTCATGTCCCTACATGGCAATTTTCCCCCAACGATTAGTCGTTCTTAGGCCGTTTGAGCCGGATCTATTCATTTCAATTTTCGTGATGTAATTTTTTAAGCAAATTAATTTTGATATGATTCTCTTGGTTCCTATGAGCTTAAGAGTTTTTTGCCAGGAAAAATTAATTAATTTTTTTTGCCGTTCTATCTCAGCTGCGGCGCGTAATTTTTTCCTGTCCTATCACATGACTAAACATTGTACATGCGCTGTTAGAATATTTTCCTCGAGTCGGAAGCGGATCGAAACGTCGAGTGATGGAGGGAAAATGGTGGTTTGGTTCTTCGAATTTATATGGCTTTTCTGGATTTTGACATCTTCTGAAGCGAGATCCACGCATACCAGAAAAATCCAAGGTTCCCAAATTGTTATTGTCCTAGTTTATTTCGCTGTGATCAATGACAACAATTTTTTCGCTTAGGTTTGATCGTCTAATGTTTGTTTCTAACTAACTTCATCAGCTGTTGGTCAATCTGCCTACGCTGGTTCGTATGGCAGCCGTACTACAGGATTTTTCCATGGTGTAGGGCAGGGAAAGCCGCCAAGAAATAGAGAGAACCTTCAAGGGAAGAAAAAGAATGAAGGGAAAAATATTCAAATGGAATTTAAGCGAAAAGTTTCCTCTTTCAAGTCGACAGAAAGCGCTACTACGATCGCTCGTGAAATCAACAGCAACCTTACAGCGGGTCACCGTGAGGACCTGCCGGAAATTTATATTTTAGTGTTGGTGAGTCTTCTTTTTGTGTTCTTTATTCGCGTTGGTGGTAATTTTATTAGTGTATCCGGAGTCTTTCCGGATTTTTTGTTTGTTTGTTGAGAAAAGGTTCTGTCCGAGCGAGCATACATTGAGTTGTCGGTCGACAGGTCTACAGCTTTGATACCGCCGTTACAGTTTCCATTACGATTTTGTTTTTTTGGGAGAATTATAATAATTGTCTGTTGCTTAACAACTCGGTTCGTAGTCGAATGATGTGGATGGAATTAAATTCAAAAGATCGTGTTTTCACACAATTCGATACGTTTTGTAGCGGTTCTTTCGGTCATGCCAGACACCTGGAATAGGTTTGTCCTGGGGAAACTTTTTTCGGTGCTCTACCGCGAGAAAACTACATTTATTATAGAAAATGCGTGGGTTTGACAGAGTTTGACGATTGTATTTTTGATGCGAATTTCTTTTACTGATAGCAGAGGTTTTATATAACCGATGGACTAGTTTCGAATGAGGTCACATCGGTTCTTCGCGCGCGAAAACGAATATTTTGCGTGATCTTTCGATCTGGCATTATCTGACCCCGTAATTATGTTCATGGGATCAGTGTTCGCCACTTCTTCGCCGATTTCCATTTTAATGGAGTTTGATTCGCGGAACAATCATTTCCGTGACATGTTTCATTAAATCCTCCCACTCAAACAATAACTGGCGGATATACTGTATTGTCGGCAACTCGTTTCAAAAATATTTTCTTCGTTTTGTTGTGGTGAATTTTGAAGACGAGTGTCAACTAACTCGATCGAGTGGGAGGCCAAACCTCGACCAATTAGCGTAACACGATAACCGTGAATGTGAAGACCTGTTCGATTTTGTAAAGGAAAAAAAGAGTCGATGTCTCTGACCAAATTTCATATCTAGCGTTTTGTTCTTTAACTATATCGCCATATTAACATACTGAATTTGTTAGTTTGAAGTAAAGATATCATTGTACACCTGTTACTTTAAGTCTAAACATAGTTTTCTAGAATCTATTTTCTTGATGAAAACTTTTACGTTTTTTAGCGGATGTCTCTGCAATTTTGTAATATCCAATTGCAAACATCTTCTGTTAAATTTGAAACTTCAAACCCATTGAATTAGAAGTTTGTGACAGTAGATTGTTTTTTCCTCGGAGTACACCTGCATCAAAAATAGCTTGTGCGTGGTATGGTATTATTTGGTGTTAATGGAGTTATTTTCCATGGTTGAAGCCTTCAAGTAGTGGGAAATGCTCTATTACCGTAAGCTGTGCCATCCTCAGCATTAATCCAGGAATTCTCTGTGGGATTTCAGGAAGGATAGATAATTTTCAATTTATCTCAATTTGCTAAGAACACCAGCAGAACACGCGTTGTTGAAAACGTTATTTTTCATTTTCCTTATTGCATAGTTGTCAATAATTCTAAGAACCAATCTGAGTCTTTGTTTTGTGTGGAAACAAATTAAGAAGTATTGTTTATGGCAAAACATAGTGGAGTGCCTTTCATTTTTGTTAATGTTTCTGATGGAAATGAGAAGGCTTTTTTTTGATAGAAATACTTTTGAATCCAATATTGAAATTAAGTTACTCTATACTTTTGAAATAAAAGTTTAGTTTCAGTTCCAGGGATTTGTGTGTAAATCCCTGGTACTATGGGATATCTAGAACTTGACTGATACAGTGTCATCTGAAACACTGAAGCTTTACAATAACTTGAAATATCACCAGTTGAAACTGCTGTTTTCCACCTATATTTCACTGGGTAGATAGCCCATATCACACAGAAAAACAAAGTCATCTATCATCCCTGTCCTTCATTTCCTATGGCTGTTACCAATTAGTCAATTTTTTTTGTTGTCACTGTGAACAAAAATATTTTTAAGAAGATCTAGTTTTTTGTTTTTGGTTTCTTCGCTAAAAAGTAACAATATTTTATCAATTTTATAATAAGAATATAAATTTAGTTCAGTTGCTTTATTTGACACAGCCCACGTGGATTAGTGATTTTAAAAGCCCCTTCTATGAAGCATTTTAAACTTGTTAATCCTTGATTTTTAGGGGTTTTGTCAAGTGTTAGCCATCCTTAGGATAGGCCTCCACAACATGTTAATATCATACACTCTAACACTTAAAAGAATATATTTTGTTTTGAGCCATTTTTTAGATGTTTTCCATGCATTCGTTATGATATGTTTTAACATCTTTCTCTTTCTCGAGAGTGACAAGCATCTTATTTATTGTTAAGAAATCACTGCTGAATCAAACATTTATGTCATGTATTGTGAATAAAGGAAGTGGTCCCCATTTGAATAAGAGAATGTTCCAGAACATGGAATACAGACTTAATTTACAAAGAACCCTTCCTTTATGGCAACAAAACTTTAACCCTATTTGAATTAAACCTTTCTGTTAAATAAAAAGAGAATCATATGTAAATTGAACTATTTAGGATATTGGTTTACGCATAACAGTGTTTGAATCAATAACTGATCATTTTTTGTAAAGTGCCCCTGAGTGTACTTGAGAGATTAAAAAATTTATCTTTAAACCTATACATTGAAAATTCTAGGAGCATTTTGATTTTAATGCTGTTGCCTTTTTACAGAACCTGGCCACTGGGCTCAAGAACTTTAGCAAGTCAACCAGGAAACAGTTTACATCTCTTCTTTCCAAGAACTTAGGGCTTCATGAGCAAAGCTGTGTAATTCTTCATGTCTCTCCAGTAAGTACAATAAAGTACAGCTAGAGATAATGAAAATTATTGTTGGAACATTAGGAGAAATTTCTGGACCAATAGGCTATGTTGGAGACACCAACTTCTACTATAACAGCAAATCACCCAATATGTGTTCTTTTTGTGTGTACAAAATATGAAACACACCTGGTTGGAGTCAGTGACACCTGTGTTCTATCATAAGCTACTACATTGCTGTTACAATTTCTGCAGCTTCTCCCAAATAACCAAATATGTCTTATTATTTTTTGTGTGTGTTTTCATAACTTGGAAATGGGCTATCAAGTCATTTCAAAATGTTATGCCCACCTGGCCAGAGTCAGTATCAAAAAGAAAGTGATTTGATCTTAGAGGATAGTAACAAAAACACTCACACATGTGACTCACACTGACAACAGGCTGAGCAAATAAAGCAGTTGACCCTTTAACTCTCAAAATCTGATTGTTAATTCTCTAACTGCTATGTATTTCCTTATAAATAATTTTTGAGAATTTGATGTTAGATCAAGATAACTTCTACCTGATAAATTTGAGTATTCTCATTATCTGCTTGTTGGATAATGTGTAGATGTTATAGGAGGAAGTTATGAGTTAATCACTTCAGGGATTTAAGGGTTTAGCAAATGCAAGACTTAAAGCAGTAATGGTTTTGGACTTGTACTTGAAAATGGATTAATAGAAGCCTGTAAATGATGTCTGTTTGTGAAACTGAACAACATTCTTATTGATCATGATTATTGATTAAAAGGTAATAGGGTATCTCCACTTTTTTTTTTTTTCAGATTTCCCTTAGAAGGATCCAAATTGAACTTTCTTGTGAAAAAGACATGGTTAAAGCTATGGGTTCAGAGTGGGAGCCTAATGTATTTATTCCAGCCAACAAAATGATCCAGACCTTAGACAGCCCAAGGATGCAGCCATTTTTGCGAGAATTCAACATAACTGCTTATGGAATCAAGGTTTAAAACACTTATTAACCCTTTTACTCCTAAGATCTAAATGTAGTTGAACCTTTATTTACCCTTTACATCCTAACATCAGTTTGCAAATTCTCCATACTGTTCTCTATACATATACTAAGGTGCTGACAAAGAGAATTTGTTTAACAATCAAGGGCTTTTTTGGCTGGTGATCATTTTCTTTATTCTCGTGACCCTAATGTGTGATTCAGGGGTGATATTGTAAAGAGAAATTAGATGCTAGTCACCCTGTATTACGCAGTCAGTTGTCAAAGTCCCAAAATTGTTTCCCCTTCGTAACTGTACTTTACACCTCTATTAAGGTGGTACAGAAGGCTACCTTGACCTTTTTGGGATGGTTTATATTCTCAGATATTATGGTGTTTGCAGTTCACGCAGTATTTCCTTTAGATGACATTTTTGGCACATCCATTTCATTGGTAACCATTCAATAATAAAATATGCAGTGTTTTTTTTACTATGGATGGAACCCGGGAAAGATCTCTACTGTAGATTACTACTTATATTTTCCAAGCAACAAAATTATAAATATGTTATTGTTAGCCTCCTCATTCTTAAAATTGTTAATGATATTTCTAATATTAGTGACATGTTGCAACCATAAGGAAGCAAATAACCACATATTTTATTTTGTCATGTAACATTAGATTGAAAGTTGTGACTCAGAAATGCCCACACCACATTGTATTTTTGTGCTTCTTGATGAAGCCTTTTCCCTCTTTTCACTTCCCAACCAAGTGATGTCAATTTCTTTAAGTCAAGAAGAAGCTTAGAACATTCTCTGGGACCTCTTCTTTTGTGTTGCTTTTCTATCTCTCGCTAGTGAACAGCATGAGTGCTAAGATTGTCTCAACACCACAGGATAGGTTTCATTACTACAAATGGTGCAAATGTTTATAGTCTCAGTTACTGATTGGTTTTGCAGGAATAATAACAAGACAAATATGGTGATTATGACCACCTATAGTGCACTATTTTGCATTTTATTGCTGCAGCCATGTATCACTGACTTACAGAAGATGACAATCGAACAAAGGAAAGTAAAAAGGGGTTCTCTGACAAATTCTTCCAGAGATATCCCTGCTTTTTGCAAATTAGTTAGTGCAGCTACATTGTGTCATGCAACTGCAACAGCATTATCTTGGGGATGATTGATACTTTTTGAACTAAAACTGGGCAAACTAAAAGTATATACAAACAAGGAAAATTTACAGTGCTGTCTTCCATGGTCTGCCAAAAATTGTCCAAATGAGAGGGTATAGGATCGCAACCTTAAATTTTTAGTGTTTTAAAGATTAAACTGTAAAAATTGAATATTATTTAGTAGAGTGCCATAAGAATCATTATTACCTTCATCTTTGTGCCTGTGCTAAACCATTTTGAGTTGTATTAAATTGGCATGGATTTAGAGAAGCTTTTCTCCAAAAATGGCATTTTGAACACACTCCTTAATTCCATGAAATTCCACAAATTCCATGGCACTGAGCAAAATTAAATTTTTTGTTCTCAATTTATGTGTAGAATCATATATCACATGTGAAAATTTTAAGTCATTCCAACAAATCTTTAATATTTTATCAACAATTTGAGACACTTCACAGAATTTAGCCTTCAGTACCACCTTATTAGTGGTCACCTCTATTAAGCGGATATGTTAACCTTTGAGTGAGTTCCAATGGCTAGTTCATGATGTCTTCCACCTGTATTGAATGGTCACATAAAGTGAAACCACTAAAATAAAACTAGGAATGATCTTTCAAGTAAAAATTTAATCTATGTTTCTCTCTGGAAATCAATGTTAGGAATAAAATCAAATCAATATTCCACGGTTGATATCTTCCTTTCATCTTATTTTATAAACCCTTCTACTTAGAAATGTAATGACATTGTCACTTCTGGAGGTAAAAAGTTAAGGGAAGTACGCATGAATGTGTGTCTTGTTTTGTGCATTATATTCAGGGCAAGAAACTTTTTTAAAAAATGCAAGCTTGATTCAGATTGTATTGTCTTTGATAGCTCGGAGAAACACAAGAGGGCCAAACGAAATGACAAACAATAATTGTACAGTCACACTCAAACTGATTTTAACCAAAGATCACTCAAATATCCTTATACATGTAGCTTACATGAAATATCATTGCTTAAATAATTAAACGAAACGCAGAAGAAATGATGCATTTGTTCAAAGGGACAAGTGAGTTGCAACAACAGTTTCTTTCTCTGGACCATTTGCTCACCATCTGTGTTTTATTCTCTTTCCTACATTATCTTTGGAATTAAGGTTTGTTGTTGTCTGACTTATCACATTTTGTTCAAAACATTTCTTTTACCCAGGAAACCCCTGAAATAGACCTTGCTGTTTATCAGGAAATGTGGTTTCCTGTGGCAGTTGTGGCTGGTGTGACAGTTATTCTTATATTTCTGGCTATTGTTTGCCTGGTAAGTCACAGCATTCCTAATTTCCTGTACATCAGAATAGAAAGATCACCTAATTATAAGAGTAGTGACACATTTCTCCCAACTGTCTACATGTAATTCCCTAAATTGCAGATAATCTAATTTTCCCCACTGGTTTTAAGTTATTTCTCCATTTGCTAGGTCTGAAAAGTTGGGGTCATATCCAAACCATGTCTCCTCACTTAATATTTTTCTTAATTTTCATTTATATGTGTCTGCTAGATGTTTTATAGGAATATATTTAATTTAGAAGATAATTTAAAGACAAAAGATTCCTTTGAGCTTAAGGGTAAACCAGCAACTGCAATAATCATTGATCAAAAATAGTAGTCTTATGTAAAAAAAAAACTAACTTAAGGCTAAGGTTTTTTAAGCAAAATGGAACACTAGATGGATAACTATGATAAATTTCTCTTGCTTGTAGCTGTTTTGCCGACGTCATCTAGAAGCCAAGGCTGAAGAAGAACATCGTACACAACAGCTTGATCCAGAGAAGCTTCTCTATCCTGCTGTTGACCCTGCAAACAACATGTCAGCAAGCATGATACAGCCTGATGCAGGAAGGGTGTATACGATAACAGGTTTACCCCCCAAGGCAAGAAAATGGAAAGGGTCTCAGTTATCCTTATCAGACAGGTGAGATACATTTTACAGCTTCTTAACTTTCTTGTACTCTTATATCTTCAGAATCTTATTTTTGGCTAAATAATGTTTGTGTTTGGATTTTAGACGCGGCTCCAAAGCATCTCTGGTCTTAGATCTCAACAGATCATCATCAACTGAATTAGGACCCAGCTCTTCTGCTCCAAGTATATTAGAAAGGTAACAGTGTCAAATTGTAACACGATTTACATTAAATTAAACTGAAAATAAGACTTTCTTTTGTCAAAATTGTTGTAAGGGTGCTTTGCTATGGTTGGGTATTTTAAAGCTTTTTACAAAATAACACATCTTACAGAGACCATTTCTACACATCTCCTATCACTGAGGTGAGAATTGAAAAGGTAGTTAGGTACATTTTATGAAGTGGAACCTTTTAATGAGATTCCAAAGGTCCAGTGTGAAGCTATTAGACTGGAGAGCCTAATGGGATGTTTGTTGTATGGGGAAGGAGCTATTTTCTGGGTTGTCTTATCACTCTCACTGCTTAAAAGTTTTTATTGATATTTCAACATAATCAATAAGCTAGTGAATTAAACAAAATTATTTAAATATTTGCATATTTTGAATTGAATGTCACATTGTGTGTAATTTTTCTATTTGCAGTCCCACAGAAGAAAAACTAGCTTCTAAATCCAGGTCTTTAACTTGCAATGAATTGGAAAACTGTGTAAATGAACCCAAGAAACTTTATGCCGAATTTTGGGTGAGTCAGAGAACCAGTGAATTGCCTAAAATGATGGTGATTATGCATGATACTCTTTGGTGTAATTGATAAAGAAGAAAAGAAGAGATTCTACTTGGAGTCTTTTTTTCTTCTCAGGATATTTTTCAATGTTAAACAATTGATTTATTTGATAGTTTGAAATTGTGAGCATACATTTGAATGTTTACAGACATGAAGTATGTTTAAATTTAAATATTTCTCTTAGTTTACATAAAGAAAAATGAATGTATTTGTCATAGGGGTGGTACAAATAAATATTTTGAGTTCCCCACAAGGATTTTTACCTCAAGGCCCAGTTTTCAAAGGGCAGATAATGCTGTCCAACAGAAAAATCGCTATCCAGTGGATAAGCATTAACAAAACCTATTGCACTATCCACCAGATAGAGATTTATCAGGTGGATAGTGATATCCACTCCTTGAACAATTGGGGCCAAAACTTAAAATGTCATGGTGCTATGTTCCACCATTGAGGGCACATGTTGAGTGAAATTTAATTCAATTTGTTATTCTGAACTAATAACTCTCAACTTTCTCTATTTATCTACATGTAGGAAATGCCAATGAATCATCCTCCTCCAGAAGAGAGGATTCCTGGTTCCAGTTACAGAAATAGATACCCATTTGTTTTACCAAGTAAGCCACAGGTCTTTAGGCAGGTTATTTAAATGTGTATGATCATGTAGTCTAGTTGTCGAGGTGAGAGTAGTCTTGAAATGGACTTTAGTCTGTACTGTTGACTTACATTTCGATAAACTGAGCAGACCACATCATCAGAGTCAGTGAGTAGTTGTTGTCAGTTAAGTGTACCATATCCAGTTCATATAAACTGATTGGTCAGTTCAGCAATGATGTTGTTGGCCATAAGACTAGAGTGGAGTAATTCAGTGGTGATTGGTCAGTTTCAATCCATCGTTAATGTTAGGTCATTCTCTTTGGTTTGTTTGTGTTGTTAGTGTTGTGAACAAGTCATTTTTGTGGTTGTAGTTCAGTAAAAGAGCAGTGTCAGCCATTACCAAGAAAGCCAAACATGTTATCCAAATGTTGATTTTTGCAATCAATGTGAAAAAGGCTGACATCATTGATATAACAATGTATTTACTCACCTGAAACAACCCAGCCTTAAAATGTATTGAGATCCATTGGTTGCTTGTGACTGTAGTCCTAGTTAGACTTCATCAAAACATGTGGCCATTAGGATTTAGCTCTCTCCTTGTTTAAGGCAATTGTGATATATTGGAAGAATTATCCACTGAAGCGAAGGTAAACAGTGGAGGATATTAGATATCATTAGTTAGACTTTGTCAAAATATCTGGCCATTAGGATTTAGTTCTGTCCTTGTTTAAGGCAACTGTGATATATCAGAAGTATCATCCACTGAAGTGTAGGCAAATAGTGGAGGATATTTTCTGAGCCTTTATATTTTCTGCCCCTTTCAGTCAAACATTGTGGTATTTACTTAATAAAAAACCAAAAATTGCAGACTGAGGTTTTCAGATCAATGAAAGAGGAAGCCCTGCAACAGGGTGTAACTTATTGCATCACATCTCATTTCCAGAAGGGATCCTTCCTCTTTTGTTTACTGCTGATAAATGTTTTTAACTCAGCATATCAAGACATTTAACTTGTACTTTCTTACACCAAGAGACAATTAGTGTTAATGCAAACTGTATTCTGTTCATTTTCAGATAGTAGAAGTAGAGTGAATCTACCTGAAATACCAGGAGATGCTTTATCTCTTTACATTAATGCAAATTTTTTGAAGGTAAATTTAAAAGTGGAATCGCTGTTTTAGCACATTTTATTGAATCTCACATTATTGTGTCTTAACACTCCTGATAGATGTTAATTAGTGCTTATTCCTCTTTTTTTTTTAAAAATTCATATTCAGGGTTACGAGGGTCGAAAGCAAGCTTACATAGCCACCCAAGGTAATTATTTTGTCAAGTTCTGTTATCAAATCTAACTTTTCACTGACTACAATAACTGCTTGATGAGATTGGGTTGTGTATGAATTAATTAGCTCTCCAACTACGAGGAGGAAGAAGGGCAAGAGATAAAGGATATGATTACTAACTTTAGAAACTCTTGATTGTTAAACAAATTCTCCTTGTTAGCCCCCTAAGGAAATGTATGTAGAACAATATCAAGAATATGAATAATGATATTAGGGTGTAAAGGGTTATGCCAGATTGAGCTCCAGCAGTAAAGATGCTCGGAGGGTCTGAAGATCTCACCAAGCTAACTCTGTGTTAAGATTTTAAGTCTCTGTGATAGCTCATCCACAAACACTTAAATGGTGTAATAATTTGTAAGTAACCTTTCTTGTGTACCACTTTGAAGGATATCATTAATGTTTCTTCATCTAGGTCCATTGTCAGTTACAGTAAAAGATTTTTGGAGAATGATATGGCATCATCAATGTCCAATCATTGTTATGATAACAAAACTTAAAGAAAGAAATGAGGTATGATTTGGATGGCATGAATTACTAAGTATATTGTTTTATTATATTTACAGGGATCATGTTATTAGAAAGCTTAATATATTATTTAGGTAAATGCTTATATTCAAAATGAAATCTGCATTGACAAATCTTAATACATTGCTTTTTTTAACCACTTTTTTTAGCTGTTTTAATATGAGGGGTTTACCTAAGTCCCCAAAATTTACCTCTTACTTGTGGCATCATGATAAATCATTGTCTAGGTTATCAAAATAAACCGGCAACTGGTGTATTTTGCTGTCTACTCTGAAAAATGCAATCATGGCTTTTCAATTTTCAACATAGAGGTATAACATTGCACTGACTACTTTGTAACACAGTCGGTTACTCAAAATATCTTTTTGACAACCCTGCATGATAATAATTTAAAAATGAACTTCACCATTTCCCTCACTCCTCTTTTTGCTTCCTCATCTGCTCTTGGTTCACACTCTCTTGGTTCAGGTTTCTTGTATTCAAGTAAACACTTTACTTTGTTAGACAAAATGTGAACAATACTGGCCTGATCCAACATTCCGAACACAAGAGAAGTATGGAGACATTGTTGTCACTTTTGACTCTGTAATTGGACGAGATGGGTATCAGATCACTTCATTTTACATCAGTCATTCACAGGTGATTTTTCTAGTAAAGTCAATTGACACTTTTTCTTTAAGAAATTACAATAATTTAAGTTCTCCTCACATTTTTAGCACATTTTCTTGTGATCAAGGGATGAGAACAGTTAAGATTATCACATGTAGGGTGCTACCTTGTTGTAACAACAAATTCTTTTGTCTATACTTAACAAGAACATATACGGCAGGCAGAAGGAGGATTTACTCATTTGATCTGAAAAGTTATTGATTGAGTCCTGAGGTATATTAAGTAAAAAAAGAAAGATATGTATATATGTAGGTTAACCCTTAAACTCCCATGGGTGACTGAGACAGAGTTTCTCCTTACTATATCCACACAATATCAAGTAGAAAATTAATGAGAATAAAGAAAGAGATCAATTAGGGGATTAAAAGTTGATCCAGTACCACATTCTTCAAACCAATATCATGAGAATTGTATAGCAGGCCTTAAGGAGAATTACTAATGAGATCTTGGGAGTGAGAGGGTTAACAACACAATGTAGAGCACAGTGTTAATCAGACAACATTGATTTATGGGTAATGGATAGATTGAGCTGTGGAAATTTTGTGCTGATACTATAATTTTGCAATTATTTTGCCATTTAGCTTTGTTTACTTCATTTGAGGTAATTCCTTTCCTTGTATATTTATTTGTCATGTTCTTTTGTTGAATGTTTCAGTCATTGGAAGCTCCTCGGAGAGTTTACCACTACTGGTACACAGCATGGCCTGATCATGGTGTCCCTGACTCACCAAGACAATTTTTAAGATTAGTAGAGGAAGTGCATATTGCTCAGGAGAGAGAGGATGTCAAAGAAGGGCCTGTTGTTGTTCATTGCAGGTTGGTTATCAAGGTCACTAATGGCGTGTCTAGCTAGTAAATTTCCTTCAAAAACATTTAATAATAATATGCACCTTGAAGTAAATGAAATGAAAAATATAGGAAATTGTAGTGAGATGTAGGGAATTGTACACTAAGTACATGTTGGGATACCAGATACTTTTAAGTCTGAAGGCTATGAATGACAGGAAAAGATCTGAATATCAAAAAAAATTGTTACACATTATTTAAAGTGCTTCCAAATTAATTCTTTCTGCCTTTTTGGACATTTGACCTTTTTCCTGTCATTTGCATGGTTTTGTAACTTACAAAGTGAAACACTGTACCAGGATAACTGTAATCATGAGCTTAAGTCTGGATTGAAACCCCACCTTTTAATTTAGTTTATAAAGGTTTCTTAAATCTAGTTTTTTAATGAGAAATTCTGTGGCTAAAGTTATTTTGGTTGTAGCTATCCTCGACAATTTTCAATGAGATGTAATGTGACATTTACCCCTTAACTTTTGTTTGCTTTTCTCTCAGTGCTGGAGTTGGAAGAACAGGATGCTTTATTGCAGCTAGTATAGGAATTGAACAGATCAAGGTGTGTATTGTTCAGAGAAAACTTGAATGAGTGAAATCAAGAGAAATTGGTGTGATTACAAAAATTAAGAACTTCCAGAAACATTATTCATAAGTATGTGGGATGCAGCAAGTTTTCTGTTTTGCATGTGAGACAAATCCTCTGGAACACTACCTTCAAGTGTCGCTATAGGTCCTCTTTTTATTTTCAATGCCACAAAATTTTGCTATATCAGTAGCCACAGGCAGTCTTAAATTGCCTATTCTCTAGCATCATTATACAACTTCTTGTTATTTTTAATGCCTTAAAATTTTGCTTTATCAGTAACCACATGCAATCTTAAACTGCCTATTTTCATTCCAAGCTGATGTATACGTTTTCTTTTCCACCATTAGAAAGAAGGTCTTGTAGACATTCTAAAGATAGTGAGCCTTATGAGAATAGACAGGTGAGTTGTATCCAAACTCTTAAACCCTCTGACTTCCATTATTTAAATATTGATCCTTCAAACTGTTTGTTATGCATTTCTTATAATTTGAGATCAGAAAATTTGGTGTTTATTCAAACAGTTTATGATATTTTTTGTAATGTACTTCACTTTACCTTTTTGCTTGAAAATGAGTTGATTTTTTTATTGAGAATTGCAATTTTGGTGTTCCCTTGGAATGAAAGTTTTAACCCTTTAACTCCCATGGGTGACCAAGACAGAATTTCTCCTTACAATATCAATGCAATATCAATCAGACAGGTGATGAGAATAAAGAAAAATAAAATATAAGTTTGAGGATTTTCTGGTTGATCCAGTACCAAATTCTCAGAACTAGCATCATAAGGATTGTATGGCAGACAGTAAGGAGAATTACTGATGAGATATTGGGCATTAAAGGATTAAATTGTTTCAAGTTAGGCCTTTCCTCACCAAGGCCTGGTTGTTCTAATGTGGGTTGAGTTAACCCAAGGTTAGAGTGAAATCTTATTTCATATCTGAAAGCTTTGACCCTTCAACTCCCAGATCAAATTTGTAATTCTCCTTACTGTCAACCACATAATTCTTATAATGTTAGTTCAGAGAATTTAGTGTGGAATCAACTAATTATCCTCAAATTGATAGTTTTCTTTATTCTCGTCAGTTATTTGGTTTATATTGTATGGATATTGTAAGGAGAATTCTTTCTTGGTCACTCATGGTAGCTAAAGGGCTAAAAGAAAATTCAGTATAATTCCTTTTGTTTACTAGAATAAATTGAATGATTGGATGCTCTAAAATGAATAGAGAGAATTATTGCAAAAAAGCTGTTAAACAAAGGAATAAAGAAACCTGGATGAAAATTTAACCCAGGGGAAGGACTAATCAGCCTCAGAACAACTAGGCCCTGAGCAGCCGAATTAAGGGGCAGTTGCCATGGTTTTGGTTCTCCGTATGGGTTACCAGATTTGAGACTTAAAACCACTTGCAACTTTGCCATCAACGTTTCCTCCTGATATGCAAAGTTTTTATTATTGAAATTATTAACATTCAGTTTTTTGTGGTTCTTTGTGATACTTTTCTTTGCTCTGACTGGGTGTTCTGATAACTTTGTTTAGGCTCATTTAATTGAAAATTGACAGCCCCTTCATAAAAGAATGTTAATTCATAAATTTATTTATTTACTGAGAGAAGGGGCCTGACAAAAAAATTATTTGGTTTGAGGTTATGATGTACAGACCCAGTATAGCTAGGTCTGTGCTTCATGACTGAGAGCTAGATATTTTCCCATCCAACCGGAACTAACTTTGTCAATGAGCATTTTATCTACTGGTATATTTTCTGTCTTTTCCCTTTTTTTTCTTCCTTTCTTCCTCCAGCTCTTATCTTGCATGGCTGTAGGTCTTTTTACAACCCTGCTTAATGATTTTTGTCAGATGTTTTTTAATAACATTGCATGTTGTGATACTCATAGTACTGTAGTAGTTACAAAAATGCACTGCAACTTAACATTTTTTTACAAATCCTCAGGGGTGGTATGGTGGAGAATGAATCACAGTATGAGCTTATTTACAATGCTCTTTATCATTTTTGGACAACACGTACTGGGAGTGATGACGACACCCGCGACATAGCACTTGAAGCAATCTTTGATGAATAATCCATGACAAATGCAATGATTACACATACTTTTTTTGGAATTCCTCCGACATGCTGGTCATGGAAGATATAATGATTAGGTGAATTGTACAGATCAGTTATGGCTATCATCCATCAAAGTGTGCGCTGAGAGGAGTGACTAACACATATCACTTTTCATAAAAACAAAAATTTAAGATGTGGATTAAGGTGTTTTTTTTATTATTATTTCAATGGGTGGATCAGCAGTAACTGAACCACTGTGAAGTTTTCATCAAGAATTTGTCCTCAGCTGTTAGCTTGTGTAAGGCTGACATGAACAATTCGTTACCTCAAATAATGATGTCTCACAACATGCCACTGGAAAAAATATTTGCAAAAGCATGGAGTACAACAAACAGTTCAGAGCTTGTCAACACAGGAAGGTTCCAAATTTCTGAACTTCTGACCAGTCAGTTTATATCTGTTTGAAGTTCTGTGGAAATAGTATCAGCTGCCATCCTGCTTTTCATGAGGTTCATACCAGTTTGTGGAGGGACTGTTCCATGTTCTGTTTTGAACAAGCTCAGTATATAGAAGGGTATAGTGAAGAGGTGTACAAATATTAGACATGTCCCTTGCAGGCCAAGGGACAAATAACAAATTTTTTGCAGCAAGGAATTTTTCATTGAGATGTAACTCACCTTGTTCTTAGTTCTTTTATTTGACTCTTCATCTCTTTAATTTATGAAGTTGCCTTGATTCACCTAATGCTTGGAAAACTGCAGTTTTAGTCGAACAACTGATTACTACAGTAATAGTCAAACCATGATCCACAAGAGGGATTTTCTCCAAACATTTTCTGGAAGACTTCACAATATTTTTTATGGTTTGGATGGAACTGAGTCAGAAGTCAGGTTTCTTGATTGCTTCTAAAATGGCAAGAGTGAGAATGAAGATGAACAAGAGACAAGCTTGTAACCCTATAGTATTATCACTGACCTCATCCCCACTGTCATCATTGAGGTCATTATTTGTGTTGCCATTATCAACACCATTATCATGGCTGTAATCGCAATGTTATGGCCTAGGGACATGTTTATCACCTCTGTGTGCAGCTTCAACTTCAGCCAAGAAAACACTTCCTTCCCAGTGCTCACAGATGACTACTTCTGCATTCTGTGGTCTACCATAAACACTTCCTTGAAAGACTTCACAAAGTGGCCTTTGTAACACCTCTTTGCATGTTAGCCATAATTTGATCTTGTTGAGATTTTGACCAGAAACAAATTCACACTCTTAATTTTTGATCTTTGAAAGGGAAAAAGGATCTCATCATCTTAACCCTATAACTCCCAGATCAAATTTGTAATTCTCCTTACTGTCAACCATACAACTCTTATAATG